TTTCTCTTTTACAGTATTGCAGTATCGGAGTCCAGTCTTGTTCAGAAAATATATATTTTAAAAAGTATAGATTCCAAATAGCAAAGCTGGATTTTGCCCCTTCTGTACAAAGGGGCACCATTGTATTTAATGGGACTTGAGCATCCATGGATTTTGATCCTGGAACCAAACCCAGCAGATACCAAAGGCCTGCTGTATTATTATTTTTAAGATAAAGATATCCCCCCTTCTCCCTTGCAAATTGGAAGTTTTGATTCCCTCCCTTCCGGTTTCCGTTGTCAGCTTCCTTGTCAAGTAACGGCGGCCTTGGCTGCTTTTCTCTGGGCCGAGATATAGTTACAGGGCAGCTTGCCCTTGCAATGGGGAGAGTTAACCTGCGCCTCTTTGTTACTCTGCACCAGATCTTTCATTGCTAAGTCGAACACTCTTAAGTGATTGCTTCGGCAAAGAGGAAAATAAGCAAGGTGTCTACCGATGCTAGAAACCAATGCAGCCTTAACCGGCGAGCTCTTGTTTCCCTTTGTGGCCTTTCAGGCGAAATTGCCGGCCCCAATGACACCCCCTGCCTTGTGTCCCTGTAACCCTATTCGACTACACAATACACCCAAGGAGGAGAGTGTCTCGCACTCCTGTCCCTTCGTCGGTGGAAGAAGAAGTGGGCTTAATAATTGATGCTCAAGTGATGCACACCAAAGTGCCTTGAAACCCACACCAGACAGCAGGTTGCGTCAGTCCTGGCCAGTGCTGGACTGCCATCCCCATCGTCCCCAGCTGGCATGGCTGAGGAGGATGGGAGCCGTAGTCCTTTGCATCCGGAGGGCTCGGGTGCCTTTTGTCATTGTTGTGTGCCTTCAAGTTGTTTCTGACTTACGGCACCCCTAAGGTGACCCTATCCTGGGGTTTTCTTGGCATGCTTTGTTCAGAGGAGGTTTGCCACTGCCTTCCCTTGAGGCTGAGAGAGTGTGACTTGCCCTAGGTCACCCAGTGTTGTCGAGCTTTTAATGCTTGCGTGGGGAAATCGAACCCTGATCTCCAGAGTAGTAGTCCAGCATCCAAACCACAGCACCATGCTGGCTCTGGATATTGATGCTCTGTTCAACCGTTTTTTGATCTTGTAAAGTGTGAAATATCAAGGCTTTCACAAATAATCAACCAGTGGGTTTCTATGGTCAAGCTGGGATTCGAACCCTGGTCTCCAGAGTCCTAGTCCAATGCCCAAACCACTACACCATGCTGACTCTAGAAATAATGCAGTTTGACACCATTTTAAATGCTGCAGCTCTATCCTATGGGATCTTGGGGTGAAACACCTTGCCTTTTGAGCAGAAGCTCCCGGTTGGATGCCTGTAGTTTTTCCAAGGTTTTTAGACTTCTCTGCCCAAGAATGCTGGTGCCTCACAAGACTAGAAATCCCAGGATTCTGTAGGATGGAGCCACAGCAGTTAAAGTGGTGTCAAACTGCATTATTTTTACTGTGTAGATGCACCTCCTGGTCACCATCTCCTTGACTGGTTTTCAGTATTAAATGTAATCTTTGTAATATGTAAGCCACTTTGAGCTCCAGTCTTGGGGGACAGAAAAGTGGAATATTAAGTTTGGATGGACTTCACAATTGCAATTCTCCCTCTTCTTCTTATTGTTATTCTTATTATTATTAATTCATATCATGCCTTTTTCCTGGTATAGGGACTCAGTTATGGATGCCTAACCTAGGCTGAATCTGCACTGCAGAAATAGTGGCGTTTGATCCTGCTTTAACTGTCATGGCTCCATCTTATGGAATCCTAGGATTTGTAACTTTGTGGTGGCACCTGAGCTCTTTGGCAAAGAAAAGGTAAAGATCTCACGAAACTACAAATCCCAGAATTCCACTGCATTGAGCCAGGGCAGTTAAAGCTTCGTCAAACTGCGTTAATTCTGCAGTGCAGATGCAGTCTTACCAAAGCGATGTACCCAAACTCTCTCCAGCACTTTGGACAGCTCCTTTAAAGTGTAGGTTCACCACCCAACACCGACACAGGAGCCTCAAAGAACCATAGATCCTTAGAGCTGGAAGGGACCACAAAGGCCATATAGTCCAACCTCCTGCCATGCAGGAAGACACAATGAAAGCATTGTTGAAAGATACCTATCCGACATCGGTTTATGAGAAGATCTCTAAAGGCGGAGGAGAGTCCATCACCTTCTGAAGCTGTCCTACCATTGAACAGCTCTTGCAGTGAAGACGTTTTTTTCTGATATTTCGGTGGAATCTCTTTTCTTGCAATTTGAATCCATTGGTTCACGTTCTGGTCTCTGGAGCAGCAGAAAACCAGATCGCTCCATCTTCTGCAGAAATTCAGAGATGGCTTTTAGGTCACTCTGCAGTCTCCCCCCCCTTGCATGGTAAATATATCTAAATTGTTCCTCTTTCCAAAACGTTGATCATCTTGGTTTCTTTTCTCCAAATATGTTCCAGCTTGTTGGTATCCTTCTTGATATTGACAAGCCGCCACTGGCTAAAATAAAATGACACGGTGGGATCAAAATCCCACTATTGATTAGAGATCAAAATCCAATGGTTAGTTTGAACTTGAGTAAACCTATTGAAGCAGTGAAACTTATAATAGTGTTAAGGTAGCATCCCTCAATTTATTTAGTGGATAGAGTCGAGAGCCAACATGGTAGTTGGCATTTAATGTTTCCTGTTTACATGTACATTTGTTTTAATTTGATTTTATTTAGATTTATCAGTTTTGTAAGTGTGATTTTATTGGCTAATGTTTATATAATTTTGTGATATTTTGATCAAAGACCGTACATAAATTCTGATTCTGGTAGTAGTTTCAGTGTTGGATGAAGCTATCGGGAGACCAAAGTTCAAATCTCGGCTTGGCCATGGAAACCCACTGGATGTCCTTGGATGAGTCACATTCTCTCAGCCTCAAAGGAAGTCAAGGGCAAACCTCCTCTGAAATAAAAGTTGTGAGACCTTGGCCTATTTAAAGAGAGGGATGGGCTTGTGGAAAGATCACAATCGCCATACTGTCAGCTGCTCATCTGCCCAAACAATCCAGTATAAAACCTCATTTTTTAATGTTTTCTTTTGTTCACAGGACTGCAGCTTCTTCACGCGAAAGGAAATTCTCCGGTAAGCAAACCACCCTCCATTCTTCCTTGTACCGGAAGGACCAAATCCGACTAATGTCATTATCCATGGCAGGACATTTTGTAGGGTTTCTAAGGCAAGGAATACTTAGAGGTCCTTCCTCTGAAATATAGCCTACAGCACCTGGTCTTTATTGGTGGCCTTCCCTCCAAGTACTAACCAGGGTTGACCCTGCTTAGCCTCCAAGATCAGACGGGATTTGGTACCTCAAGGCTGTTTTGCTTCATAGCCACTAGATAATCCATGAGTTATTTTATTGATTGATTGATTGATTCAATTTATATCTCTTCTTTCTCCTGCCAAGGGACCCAAGGGGGCTTCCAAAGTTAAACATAAAGAAAGAAAAGTTTAGCTAAAAGTGTGCTATTATAAAAGTTAAAAAAAAACAACACAACACAATTAACCACAAATTAACCATCTATTGTATTGGAAACTTATCGTTTAAAACAGTTTTAAAATACAGTTTGAAGCATAATTAAAAACACGTATCTGTGTTGCATGTCTTCAAGTTATTTCGGATTTATGGTGAGTTTAAGGCAACCCCATCACAGGGTTTTTTTGGCAAGTTTCATCACAGGGGGGTTGCCATTGCCATCCTCTGAAGCTGAGAGAGTGTGACTTGCTCAAGGTCACTCAGTGGGTTTCATGGCCATACAACTTCCCCCCCCCCTCAAAAAAGCAGAGCACACTTCTTTGAATACTGCTCTACTGTATGAATAAAGTCAGTCAATATATTTAATAATAGTAATAATACAAATATTTCCCTAAATTCATCAGGCTGTGTGTGAATTCATTTAAAAGCATGGCATGCTGTTTAAATTATATATTTCCTGGTGCTTGGGAAATGGTAAGTTTTCATTTCAGACAACGCCCCCCCCCCC